CAAATTAAAAAAATAAAATAAAATTCAACTGTTCTCCAACAATTATTTCACATATTCCAAATGAAAAATCCCTCCAAATATATTTATGCCTATAATCATATCAGGTGTCTGATTTTTTATTTATTTTTTATATAATAGGGAAGCCGAATGGCTTAAGGTACAAAACATCCCTCTAGGCCGGGGATGATCCTACTCTATCTAATTCCAGTTGATCCATGACTTGGGACGGATGAGATGACAAAATATGGTTGCCGTATGGGCATGAGAAGCCAAATTTTGCCAACTCATCTGCCACCCCATTTTGGTTACGGGGCGCATGGATCACTGTTCTTTGCCATTGGAGGTTTAGCAAACCTCTAACTTTACAAAAGACATGGCTATTTACAGTGGTTGGGTCACCGCCTGACAAAAGATGAACTGCATCTATGCAGTCTAGTTCTAAAATAACGTTCCGAAAGCCTAGAGTCCAAGCTATTTGGAGGCCGAAATAAGCACCCCATAATTCGGCTTCTAGACTATTACAGTAGCCTAAGTTTGCGGCAAAACCTATGATCCAATCCCCAATATGGTTACAAATAACACCCCCAGCTGCTGCTTTTTCAGTTGTGAAGGGCACAAGTCCGTCTGAATTGATTTTGACACAGTTTTGTGAGGGGGGGGGGGAGCTGCTGTCTGTTGACCGGAGGCGATTGCAGGCCTTAACTTTAAGTCGATTTGTGCGGTTGATTTCCATGACCGTAACTTTGATTATGAATTTGAGATATCTCTCTGTGCAATGGTTTCACAAAAAATTTCAGCATTGCTTGCTGCCCACATCTTCCAACAAATGACAGCAAACCAGAGGGGCCATTCACATTCTTCCTGCAAAATAGATGATCTCATGTTAGTTCTTATCCATTTCTTCCAATCAAATTCAAGCCAAAAATAAGGTCCCAGATCCAAGTTGGTGCTCTACCATAGTTCACGGCTCCGGAAGCAGTCTCTAAACAGATGAAAAAGGCTCTCCTCAGCCCCACAATAATGACAGCTGGCATCGTCGGTCAGGTGACGTCTTTTACATTCTGCATTCACCATAAGTACTTGCTTGTACATTAGTCAGAGGAAGGTTTTAACTCTTTCGAGTCCTGGCCATTTCCGAACTAGTTGCCAACCTCCATCTGCTTCACTGGTGTTCTCCTGCAAAAGAAAAGAGTAAGCTGATTTTATCGAAAACTTCCCTGAGTTGGAGAGGCTCCAGATTGGTCAGTCTTTCCCTTGATTGGATTGCGGAGGGGGTACCGCCTTTATCGTGTCAACCAGCTCCGACTGCAAGAGATGGGAGAATTTGGCCCAATCATCCTCCAACAGCTGTAGAGAGATTTATTGCCTTCAAGTCTTGGAAACCAGAAGGGAGGGGAGAAGTAGCATGCTGATAAAGGGGGCCAATCGAATGCTCAACCCAGGTATCCAACCAGAATCTCACATCTTGGCCATTACCTAGAATCCACCTGATGTCTTTGAGAGAATCTGGCCAGATGGCCGTGATATGTTTCCAGAGATGAGATGACTTTTGTCTACTAATGTCGCTGGGTAATCCTTCACTTGGGAGATTATATTTAGCTCTAAACACACTGGTCCAGAGACTACTCCGGTTAGCTATAAGACCCCCAAGCTAACTTGAGAATAAAAGCCATGTTAAACTCCTTAAGTTTCCTCAGTCCCAGCCCCCCACAACTCTTGGGCTGACATACATTTCCCCAGCTAACCATGTTTGGTTTCCGCTCTCCCGGTTGGTTGCCCCAGAGGAATTGCCTTCTTATTTTGTCAAACTCATCCCAAATGCTCTTTGGAAGCATTGTAGACTGCATTAGATCGGTATAGCCGATAGGATGGATTGGCAGAGAGTTAGCCTTCCCGCCATATAAATACGGCGGGGATTCCATAAGGCTGTCATGTTTCTTGCTTTGAGTAGCCAATCGGCGTACAAGTCTTTTTTGACTCTCCCATGGATGATCGGAGTGCCAAGATATTTTCCCAAGTTATTGACTCTATACACCCCCAATCTGTTGCTCAAGAAATCTCCCATATTGATGTCCATGTTAGGGGAGAAGTAAGCCACAAATTTCTCGCTGCTAATTGTTTGTCCAGAAGCGCAACAAACCGCTGCCATAGTCCTTTTGATCACCTCCACCTGTTGCAAGCTTGCTTCGGCAAAGAGAATTAAGTCATCAACAAATAGCAAATGGGAGAGGTACCCTCTCGTTGCCAAATACAATTGGTTTCCAATTCCCCTTGCTAACTTCAAAGTTAATTGTCTGAGATAATCTCTCCATACATAAAACAAAAATGTACGGAGAGACCGGATCTCCTTGTCACACCCCTTTGTTGGGATGGAACTCCTCTCCTGGTGCTCCTTCCCATAATATTCTCATTGACCCTGTTCCCAAAGAACTCATTATTACCGATCTAAGATTCTCCGGCAACCCAGCATCAATCAATGTATCTTCAATAAAATTCCTGCTGATCGTATCAAAGGCCTTAACTAGGTCGATTTTCAAGACCATCCAACCTTTGCTTACTCTTGTTTCACGCATTGAATGAATAACCTCCTGTACGATGACTATATTTTCTATTATGCTCCGCCCGGGAACAAAGCTTGATTGCGTCTTAAGCACCAGCTGAGGCATAACCCTCCTTAGCCTGTTAGCGATCACTTTAGTAATAATGTTGGCCGATACGTTGATCAAACTGATCAGTGAAGATTTTGGAAGTGCTTTGGATTTTTAACCTTCGGGATTAATACAACCAATGCCTTGTTGATACTCTCGTGAACCCTTCCTTCCCGAAAAACCTGCTTGACCATCTTGCAAACTGACCCACCTACAGTTCCCCAGTTGTGTTGGTAGAACCCTGCCAAAAAACCATCTAGTCCTGATGCTTTGAATCTGTGCATCTCAAAAACTACCTGCTTGATCTTTGTGTCTTCTGGCTGTTTATCAAGCCCCTGTAATTCCAAGTGCGAGAGTGTAGGAAAGCGGCCTCGAATTGCATATGGGGGGTTGCTGATCGACGTTCCAGTATACACTTTCTTAAAATAACCTGTAGCTGCCTTCCCCAAAACATCTGAGTCAGATGACCAGTTACCGTTTACCAGCCGGATTGATTTGATTCTAGCTTTCTGTTCCCCTTGTTTATGGATAGAATGGAAATAATTTGTATTTCGGTCTCCCTGCGTCAACCAAACAGTTTTGGAGTTTTGGCTCTTAACAGTTCCTCCAGAGTGACTATTACTTCATATTCTTCTCTCAAGGCTTGTTCTAGATTTGTCAGAGAGGCTGAGTAGTTAAAAGATGAAGACTTTTGCAGTCCTTCTAGACTCGCTAGGACTCTATTTTTCTTTCTGTTTAAATCGCCAAACACGTTGCTCTTCCAGTCTTTGAGTTAGATTGTAAGATTCCTGGCTGCATTTGATAAGTTGACATTAGTCTCCCAATTCTCGGCAAGCCAATCATTCCATCTGTCGTGGGCTTCCCACGCAGCCCAATATCTAAAGAATTTTGGGCCCTTACTACCGGAAGTCTTGAGCGTAAACTTGATCAGTAGAGGCGAATGGTCAGACGTAATTCTTGGGAGATGCCTCACAGTTGTGTGGGTGAAGAATTCACAGTTGGGAGATGCCTCACAGTTCTGGGTTTATAATTCGCAAAGGCGCGATCAATCCTTTTGTGGCATAAGCCCCGCTGCCATATGTATCTTTGTCCCGAAAAACCCAGATCATTAAGATAGTTCCTGTCCACCCAGTCCTTGAATCTCTTGCAGACATATGATTTCTGGCCACCTGTTTTGTCTTGTTCATGCGTAAAGGCATTGAAAGCGCCTGCAATCAACCATGGTTCAACCCCGGTACATGCAAAAATGTCTAAATTTTCCCACAGAGTACGTCGTGTCAGCCCTTAGGGGCTGCCATACACTGCAGTTAAGAGGCACGATAGGTTATGTTGAAACTTAACCCTAGTATGAAGAAATTGCCAATCACTATGGATGACTTCAATCGAAACTGAGCCCTGCCACAAAAGCCAAATCCACTGCCACAAAAGCCAAATCCCCCCCTCCCCGCGCAAAACCCACAGATTTAATTCTATGAGGGTTTGCTAAACTAATTTTTCTAATAATCGCATCCACGTCCAAACCACTAATTCTTGGGTTCAAAGACAGCCACTACTTGGGCTCTATGTCTCTTAATCATATCTTTTAAATCCGAAATTATTTCAATATTAGATATGCCCTGACAATTCCAAACTATGAATCGTATATCCATTTAAAAATTGAGATTGTAGGGAGAGAAGCTTACGAACCGGCATCTAGCAAGCGCTCCTCATCAGTGTCGGATCAGTGGTCTTCATTGGCCATTATGCATTGGTCCTCCCCAAGATTGGTGTCTTCTGGATCTTCATCCATAATATTAGAGGTTGAATCGGGTGGCTTATCGTTGTTTGCCAATCTGACCTATAACCTTGACTTCAGATGGAATGAATGAGGCAGATCCAATCTGACCTATAACCTTGACTTCAGATGGAATGAATGAGGCAGATCCGGAGGTTTGCCCGCCCTGAGATCTGTGGTTGCATTGTCTATGTTCATTCCGGTTTCTGTGGGGATATCGCTTGGTTTCTGGCGTGGATTTGGGTGTGGTAGCTGAACTACAGTGTGCTTGGGGCTTACGACTCGAGATTCTGATTATGTGTCCTGTGTCTTATGGTGAGCTTACGACTCGAGATTCTGATTATGTGCTTGGATTCCGTTTTTGGTGTTGTCTATTGTGTTTTTCCGGTTGGTGGGTTCTGGGTTTGGGAGAAGGTGGTGGTGGACAATGGTTGATTCTGGCCTTTAGGGGTTGGGGGGCTGTTAGGGTCATTGGGTTTAACGTCAATGGGTGGGTGTTTGCTCTGGGTGGGCTGTCTTTTTGGCCCAATTCTTATCACGGCTCGTAGAGTCTGCTTTCCTTTTTGTTGGTATGACAATTAGGCTTCGCTCCTTAGCTTTGTTATTGGATTGGCCCTTCTTTGACGAGGATGCACCTGAAGAGAAAACAAAAGACTTATCAAAGCTGCTTTTAACATTTGGAATGAGCTTTACCTGATATTGGTCGCCGGTTCGACGCACGGAGGGTTCCGGTGGATCTTGTGGAAAGTCTGCCAAAGCAGCGAAAGGGTTTGATTGTGGCCGATGGTTCTTTGTGCTACGCTGCTTGGTAAAGCCAGCAGAGTTATTGGCAGCATTGATTCCAAACACCGAGTTCCTCCCCTTTTTCTGCGCGTAGCTCCACTTGCCCAAATTGGGGTTATTTGGGTTTGCATTGGAAGCTGGGCTGCTCTGTCCCAACAAGTGTATGATTTTTTTCATCTTTGCTAGGTAAGGAGTCCTATAAGATATAACTCTTATAATGAATTAAGTGGCAATGGCCCAAAAAAAAGCCCAAATCTTTTTAATTTCTTCTCAATCCTAAAATGTTATTCATTTACTATCATCAACAAGGTTTTAAATGTCTCTCTTGATTTTCGACAATCATTTCTCATCACATGACATGGACTTATTCAATGACAAAGTCCATGAAGTCTCTCTCTCTCTCTCTCTCTCTCTCTCTCTCTCTCTCTCTCTCTCTCTCTCTCTCTCTCTCTCTCTCTCTCTCTCTCTCTCTCTCTCTCTCTCTCTCTCGTCCATTATTTTATTTTTTGCAATACACCTACAACAATCAAGGAGAGTTTAGAAGTAAGTAGGTAATTTGCATTACATTCTCATAAGAACACCGTGTAATCTACATATCGGTTTCCTTCATTAAAAACAAAAATCCTTAAATATTAAAAGATGAGAATTTTAGAATATTTTAAGCTCTCTAGATCAATGGAAAAATCTTTCTAGAGACATGTCTTATTGATTGGAGTGTGTACAAAGATATTATTTTAAAATAGTATTTTCTTAAATTTCAGGATTCCTTTACTTGAATATGAAAATGAGATTTATTGAGATGGGAGTGTGTGTGTGTATATATATACACACACGCACAATATAACACATTAACCATATATTCTCTAACAAATAAACCATATCTTTAAATTTTAACAATATGAATAAAGATTTGTTTTTTGGTTTGATTATTTCAGTTCAATGGGCGAAAACTAGTAAAAATATATATAAAGAAAATATCGTTGAATGGCATCAACACACCAGAAATCGAAAATCTAATAAACTATTTAAGGCTTAGGATTTTTGTTTAAAATTGTAACACAAAAACAACATGGTTTCAGTTAACCATTATTGTTCCACTTAAATTATGCTTGAAATTACAACAAGAAGGTGATGAAAAACTAAAAAAAAAAAATTAAAAATCAAACAACGTTGTTTCACTTAGTGTATCTTCCACCCTCAAACCCTCTAAAACTCTATTTTACGATTTTTAAGTAAAATTTCTCTATTTTACAGCCTCAACAGTGTCGGGACTTCCTACCTGTTCCCTTCATCTAAAAGAATATTTTTGGTATATTATTTTCTAATTTATTAAATTTACTAAATTGTTTTGTAATTGATGTTTTGATGCATTTTACAAGTAAAAAAAAATACGTGTAAATATGTTAATTAAATTAGTCATCCAATTAAGTTCTCAAATTACTTGATTTGCAATTCACCCATAAAGTTTTTAATTTATGAAATTCTAAATAATTACATGTAGAAAAAGTGAATGATTTATTTTATGTGGGTTGGAAGAAGGTATGGTCTCTTTAGTTGATCAATATTTAGTTTATGTGGGGTGTAAATTGTATAATTATACGATTCATTTTATCGTAGGCATAAATAACATGCAAATAAAACATAACAATAGGGGTGGAAGGGTTGGGTGCGGTGGTTAGGAGATTAGGATGGGGATGATTATTTATCATAAGGTCAAAGGTTCAATTTTCGTTAGAGCTATCTATTTAAAAAAAAACATAATATTTTTTATTTTTTTGTTTTATTATTAAATGAAACACTAAAGAGAAAAAAAATATTAAACTGTCCGTATATTAAAAGCCCAAAAACCCATTCACATTGACCCAAAAACAGTATACAAAATGGAATCTAAAAAGCCCAAAACCTCTAAACCCTAACCCAAATTGAAATTATTATTTTTTTTAAAAAAAAATTAAGGACCGCCATAGCGGGTGAATAGTACCCATGCCAAGGATCCATGGTAGGGAGCCATTTGCAGGCTTGGCGGATCGCGCGTCCTATCGACCACGTTTGAGATGAAAATCCGCTATTCTAACCGGCCTAGCTTGATATAGAAAGACGGTTGGAGATGGCCTTAAATTGGTCAGTAAAATGACATTTTTTGTTTAATGTCTTTTTAATAAAAATGATCCCATCTTTTTAGATGTATAAAATGATTTTCTAAATATTGCTAAACAACAACAACATGTATTAAACAAAAAAAGACTCATTAATGATGCAGTTCAGATTTTCATTAACTTGTAGAAAATCTCGAGACTTTACATAAACTTTCATCACCTGCTAAAAGGATTAGACAACATACACATGTTATTTTAAGGTCCTTTTTAAGTTTTCAGGATTTGATATACAATTTGTGTATTTCATAACATGTAGTCGTTTGTTTGATGAATTGTTTGCCATCGCCGGTGAAAATCACAATAATCGATACTATTTCAGTTTAATTATGTTATTTTCTTCCTTCATCAATTCTGTATCATTGTTGGATGATGAACACCTCGTGAGAGATCACTTTTCGTGAATTACGAGATTCATGGGTTGAACGGGACAGTTTTATGAGGTAGATGCGCTACTCCTCTAGCCTATCCAAACCCTACGCTGTCGCACATGAAGATTGATCCAACTTGGATCGATGAAATTGAAGAGGTCAAGGCAAAGTGCACTTGTGGATCTAAATCGGTAACTAATTTTTGATTTGTGTTGTTAGTATAGTCATTTTAACCTTTAAGAGAAAAAGTTTTAGACAATTAGACTGGATAAGAGAGTGATATGATTGTTAAAATATGAAAATAAAGGAAAAGTCAATCGATCATTACATAATCATAACACTATTACTTCTTTTGGATTTTGAGAATGATTATGTTTTTAAAAATATGAAACCTTCAAGCAAAAAGCATTGTAAATAGATTTTATGGAAAGGAACGGTTAAAAATCCAGTGACGTGTTATTACAACCACTGGAACGATCAAAACAAGCATGATTAGACAATTTGTAGCCAAGTTATCGATCTAAATATTGCATGAAGATTAATTTTGATCTCTTTTGTGATTTGTTTCGATTTCTAATATAAATTTTTACATTTTTCATACCAATGTGATCATCAATCATCAACCCATGGATCTAATTTTGTTACTAAACCAAAAGATAGAGGGATGAAACTGCAATTTTATTTTCTTCGTAGGCTTCATTTACACAAAAAATGAAAATAAGAGGCCTCACTGCGGTTTAGCTTCATTGATACTCTGTGTTTAGGCAATTCTCTCTCCCACCTTTTTTCGTGCATAGATATTTCGGTTGTATGCGGTGTACGGAGAGAAAACTCTTCAAAGCCCTAATTTTAGTCTTAGCAAGTTGACCAATTTCATCTCTTTCGTTTGCGTGATAGTCCAAATTTCATCACTTTGGAATCATCTATTCAGCGATTGATCTGAAGATTTTCATTTTGAAATTGATTTTTTAAAATTTTTCTTCTTTGGGGGGTTTTGATTTTGATTTTGATTTTATTCTTAGGGTTCCAAATAGCTGCAATCAAAGGTAGCTGAGTGAGAGTGAATCTAAGATATTTAGATAGTGATGGTGGATTCTGTTCGGTTTTGCATGGACATCTGCAAATGCCGGAGTTGCGTAGCGGATTTCGCCAGCGCCGCGATGCTCAGACTGTAGCGGCGGGGGCGAAGGCAACGAGGAAAAAAGAGGCGAAAAGTAAAGCCGCAGGTGGTTCTGGAAATTATATTAAAACTCGAGCCGCCAAGGCCAAAGCGGCGCTCACAGAAGCAAACCTCAAACAACAACATTTAGGAACCGACGTTGGACAACAACTAGAAAAGGGGAAAGAGGAGGCTAGAATCCAAAAGCCTAAAGCAAAAATTGTTAGGCAAAAGGTAAAGGTGAAGGAATCTGTGGTGCCTGTGGTGGTGATCGAGGACGAAGATAAAACAATGGCTGATGAAAGTGGGAACTTGAGTGCCAAAGGGAGTGCCGATGAGGATGGAACTCCTCCATCTTTTCCTGATACGGTTTGTTTTTCGATCTTTTTCTGCATCATTGCATGATTTTTGTGCCGCCGATTATGGAGTCTTTATCTGCCAATTGATGCTTATACATGCAAAGACAATGTTCTCGAGTATATCAAAAGATACATTGATTTACCCATTGATTGTCACGCATGTCTTGATCAAGAACAATTTGTTTACATCATGCCTTCTTTGAGCACCTAATTGCAATTTATGTTAAGGTTTGTTGCTGCAGATTCCTCTTTGATAGTTATGGTTTGTACTTTGTAGTCCCCAAAGAGTGTACGCTTTTTTGTGGGTCACTTGTGTTGATCCTTAGCTAGGAATTTCGGGGTTTGCTATGTTTTCCATGTTTAATCAACATTTACAGCTTTAACACTTAGCATCGTTGTTGGTATAAGATAATTAATGATCAAGTATGATGAATCGGAAGCTTCTAGTAAGGACTCACATGTTACATGGCTAAATGTTTACTCTTACTCTTGGGGGGATGAATGAGGATCATGAAGCTGTTGATAACACTGAGCTTGTAAATTTTGATAAGTGAGGAGTTTCTTTGGTTGTTGGTACTGAGGTTATTTTTGCGGAAAGACATTATTGGGTCGACAGCTCTTTTAATTCTCTTTAAGTTTTGTCTTGACATACCATCTGTGTAAGCTAAAATGTTTGAGTGTATGCTGCCTTATAATTTCCTTTATCCTGCTATGGATTTTCAGGTTCAAGTTGGAGGCTCGCCATCGTATAAGGTTGAGAGGAAACTAGGTAAAGGTGGTTTTGGACAGGTGTTTGTGGGTAGAAGAGTTTCTGGAGGAAATGAACGGGCAACTGGTGCTGGAGCATTGGAGGTGATACTGTAGTTTTTGCTGGTTAATTTCTGTAGTTTGATTGAAAGAGTATAATGGAAATGTTTTGTATTTATACTATGAGGTTGTTGATTGCTTGTTCCAGGTGGCTTTGAAGTTTGAGCATAAAAATAGCAAAGGCTGTAACTATGGTCCTCCATATGAATGGACAGTTTACAAGTGAGGATATAATTTTCTGGGCCTTTTGAGTGTCAATCCTTTGGACAGTTTTTGAACTGGAGATTTAAAATCTGTGCTTTTCCTCTCTTAACAGCACCCTTGGGGGTAGTCATGGTGTGCCTAAAGTTCATTACAAAGGAAGACAAGGAGACTACTATGTAATGGTACGAGGTGGATGATCATGAACATTTCATTGAGGTGTACGGGAAATTGTTTGCAAAGCTTTCTAGAAGTATCTAATTTCATACATGGTCCTTTCTTTTTGTAGGTAATGGACATGTTAGGCCCTAGTTTGTGGGATGTATGGAATTCTTCTGGGCAATCGTGAGTATCTGATGGTTCCCTACTTCTTCTGCATGTTTCTTCTTTCTTCCTTTTCTTCTTATTTCCCCGTATCCTGGTCTGAAAGCTCAATGTGCTGAATTTCATGTTTATTTCTATTTTTCGACTTGGCAATATATTTAAATGTTATAATTTTTGTATACTGTCCGGTAGTTACATTTTCATTGTGTTGATACACTAAGCTTTGATTTCTTCTTTCCTTTTTTTTTTTGTTGTATTATGAAATTTAGGTTATCATAGTTTTGTTATTCATTAATAAATGAGGATTTGTGCGAATATGAAATTTGAATGCTTGTTTGGAAAGGCGGGGATGCTCTTTATAGTGGTATTGAATTTCCCATGTGTGTATACTCCCGTAATCAGTTTGCTTTTTGCTCACACTATACCTGTTTGCAGAATGTCTACAGAAATGGTTGCCTGCATTGCAGTTGAGGCCTTGTCAATACTGGAAAAACTGCATGCAAAAGGGTACTGATTTTCTCATTCCTCTTTGATTGCCTCCAATTCTCCTTTCTTGAAATTTGTTAGTCGGATTTGATGATGTGACTGAATTTCTTTTTCCTCTTTTTCTCTTTTCTGGTTGATTCTTCATAACGTCCATTACCAGGTATGTGCATGGGGATGTAAAGCCCGAGAACTTTTTGCTTGGCCAACCAGCAACCTCTCAAGAGAAAAAGTTGTTTCTTGTGGACTTAGGATTAGGTTGGCAAATTTAAGTTACTCAACTTTCTAGTCTCCATGTCTCTCTCTAATTCCCCTATTTCTCTCTGTTTTGTACTCATATCCGTGTTGATTCGCAGCGTCAAAGTGGAGAGACACCTCAAGAGGGCAACATGTTAGATATGATCAACGTCCTGACATGTTTAGGTGAGTTTTTTTAATGTTTTAGACGTTAAATTCTTAGGAATTTCTGTTTTTGTACTTAATATCTTCCCCATACTGTACAATGCTCCAGAGGGACAGTTCGATATGCCAGTGTCCATGCTCACTTGGGAAGGACTGCCACTAGAAGGGATGATTTAGAATCGCTTGCATACACCCTAATATTCCTTCACCGAGGCAGGTTGCCATGGCAAGGTTATCAGGTAATTACTTACTTTCCCTTCGCCGTTCGGGCTGTTTTGCCTGTATGTGTCCGCCTTCTTCTTTCTACTATATTTTGTGAAATTCGTTTGTTTAGACTTATGTTTATTTGGTTACTATCTCAGGGTGACAACAAATCATTCCAGGTGGCGAAGAAAAAGATGTTAACGCCTATTGATGTGCTATGTAACTGCTGCCCACCTGCCATGAAAGAATTCTCAGAGACTGTTGTTAACTTAAAATTTGATGAGGAGCCCAACTATTCTAAGTTAATTTCTATGTTTGCGGGCATTATCGGAGCTGATCCTTCTGTCAGGCCATTAAATACAGATGGTGCTCAAAAGGTGATGCTTTGACATAGAAGCTATGTTGTATCTTTTATTACTGGGTTAATGAAAGGAGTTTTAGCTTCTTAATTCTTTTTTATAGATTATCCAAATTGGCCAAAAACGGACTAGATTGAATCTTGAAGAGGAAGAGGAACAACCCCGGAAGAAAATTCGAATGGGTCTTCCTGCTTCACAATGGGTCTCAATTTACAATGCCCGGAAACCTATGAAACAGCGGTAAAATAGCTCCCTCCCCTCAAGTTTGCAGTTACTTGTGCTGTTTACCTGACTGTCTCATGTCTTCGACAACTTACTCTTATGTCCTGTTCGTAATATGAATAGTCATTTTCTAGTTTGGGGGTTTTATGGCAGCAACAATACTCGTACTCAACCAGGGGGCGGGGTTTGGAGTAAAATCCTCCAGAGAGATTTTTCTAGTCCTTGCTTAATATTTGCTCTTTACCAGTTTTGGTCATGGCCCCTTCTAATTCTTTTTCCTTTTTATAGATACCATTATAATGTCTCGGATGCGAGGTTAACTCAACATGTGGAAAGAGGCATCGAGGATGGCTTATATATAAGTTCTGTGGCATCTTGTTCCAACTTATGGGCTATAATTATGGATGCTGGGACTGGTTTCACCAGCCAAGTTTTTGAAATATCACCTCTATTTTTGCACAAGGTAAATTCCATAAATTCCAGTGGCTTTAAAATTATTTTTTGAGCTCTCACTTCATATGCGAAATGACTTCTCTGGTGCTGAGAATGTAGGAGTGGATAATGGAGCAGTGGGACAAGAACTATTATATCAGCTGTCTTGCAGGAGCTAGTAATGGAAGTGGGCTAGTGGTAATGTCAAAAGGTAAGATTGTGTGAATGGAGTCCCCTGCCAATCTTAAAAGAGGGCCTCATATTTCATGTTGAGTTACATGCTTGTGCTACATTAACTAGCTGAGATGGACTGTTGTGTCAAGTTGTATCTTCAGAGACTACTATCCATAAGTCTCTGGAATTTGAAAATTTATTTTGAGCATTAGTTTTTAATGAACTAGTGGGATCTCATTATAGTCAAACTCAGAAGTGTGATGCTTCTGGCCATCCTTTCCAACGGCTTATATTTCTTTTCAATGAACAATCTGTACAATAAGTTGGATTTTGTGTAATGTGTAGCTTTCTCCTACTACCACTGTATAAAGGTTTATTTGGTTGCATATTATTATCATTTTGTTTGTTTTGGGGGGTGGGGGGTGGATTGTCCTCTGTCTCTCTGGTAGCAGAATTAGGGTTTGGTGCTTCTGTTTGTCCATTTTTAACTTTAAGCTACTTATTATATTGCAGGCACATCTTATAGCCAGCAATCCTACAAAGTTAGTGATTCTTTTCCATTCAAGTGGATTAACAAGAAGTGGAAGGAAGGTTTTCATGTCACCTCAATGGCTACTGCTGGTACTCGATGGGCTGTTGTCATGTCTCGCAACTCTGGCTTCAGTGAACAGGTCAGCTTACGTATGGCTTGGTGTTTATACTGTCCTTTTTTTATTCAAGGTCCACGTACTCTTGAGGAATAGTTTTAGATGAGGCTAAAATTCTCTTTCTGGCTTGAGTCTTCTTTGAACCGTGTTCGCTTGCTTAATCACTTCTCACAATGTTTCAAGGACACAAGAATTGCTGTATTTTAATTTTCGTTAATGAATCTTTATTTTTGAAAGTTCCCTTTGTTGCGTTTTTTTTTTAAGAAAATCTTTTTTTATTTGTTTTTTCACTTGAAGACCATTTCGCTCTGGGTTTTGTTACTGTTATGAAATGCTATCCAAGCATGAATGTGAAACTGCTTGAAACTTGTCAATTTGATACTTTTGCAATGTGACACGTAGCTCTTGTACAAAGCTACAATTTCTTCTCTTGTAATAACGTGACATGCCTCTTGTTTTGATTGAGCGCTCAATATCTGTTTGAACCCTTTGGGAAACTAAAAATGAAAGCATATTGTTAAATTGCTGGAAACTTGTTCAGTTTTTTGGTACCGGTCTCAATATGCCATGTATGCCCTTGTTACACAAAGCTATAGTTCTCCTCTTTTGTGTTGCTCGGGATGTCTTTTGTTTCAGTTGAGCACTCAGTATTAATTATTGATGGAGAGATCGTTGTTTTGCAGGTTGTGGAGCTTGATTTCCTTTATCCTAGTGAGGGTATCCACAAACGTTGGGATAGTGGTTACCGTATTACAGCCACAGCTGCTACTATGGATCAAGCGGCGCTTATTTTGAGTATACCTAGACGCAAAATCACCGAGGAGACTCAGGAAACTCTGCGGACATCGCAATTTCCTAGTACCCATGTTAAGGTATTTTTCCACGCCAATTATCTTGTGCGAGTATTTTGAGTCTTTGTTGCTAAAACATTGTACTTGACTTGACCAATGATGATCCTGTGGCGGAACCAATTGATTTAGGCCGAATGAGCTAAACGTTTTGATCTTCGTTTTGTGATTTTTGGGAGCAGGAAAAATGGGCAAAGAATCTCTATCTGGCTTGTGTTTGCTACGGCCGGACGGTGTGTTGATTATGCTCAAGAACATGGTGGCTGGAGAACTTTTGTTCATATCTTTTCTCACTTCTTTGCCATTGGCATTTTGGGTGGGAGCAGTATATAAATGCTAATCTGCTATCTTATGTAAAAATTTGCTTGAGAAGCTATATTGATGCTCAGTATACAGGCGATTATTCAAGATTTCAGTACTTAAATTATTAGGAATATTCCTACCCAAAACAAGAAAGAAGAAGTTAATAGGAATATGTACCTTATGAATTATTATGGGTTGAAAGATTTTTCCCCGTGCTCTCTATGAATTTTGGATTTCTTATTCCTTTCGACACCAAAATAAGAGTCATCCGAGGGAATACTTTTCTTGCATTCGCCATATATCAGTATTACCAACAGTGCCAGGTGGAAATAGGAATCAGGACACAACCAAGCAGAGAAAAAAAAATGTTAAAAAGCTCAAAACTTCAAAAGAATGCTCGAGCATACATCTCGTTAATTAAAAGAATATTAAATCAAATTTATGACAAATGAAAATATTTTATAATAAGAACAGAAGAGTTTCATTTGTAAAAAATATAACAAATCAAAATATTTTATAATAAGAAAGAGCTTCATTTGTAAAAAATATAACAAATCAAAATATTTTATAATAAAAATGGAAGAGTTCTATTTGCAAAAAACTTGATCCGTCTTATAATTATTGGTACTTCTCACAAATTTGTAATGCAATAATTTCATAAATTGACGAGTTTTTTTTTTTTTGTGTGTGAATAGTATCACATCTATCTATACATCATATTAAAATAATAGTTCAAGAGAAAAAAAAGGTCGACGTGTCACGTTCTCATACATTCCCGCCTAACAAAAACTACGTAGGTTTGTGAAAAAAAATAAATTAATTTCTACAATCTTTGATTGTGTTAACTTTCCTTGGTCTTATTGTAATCAGTCAATTAAAATTAATAGAATAAGACATTAATAATGTAAATAAATGATTCATTTATTATTTCTAAAATTTAAACATAACAAGTTGTGTTGAAGTTGAAAAACATTTTTAACATTTGTATATTTAATTTAAAATATATTATTGTAAATGGGTCGGACAATGCCCTGGACAAGCACTTAACTAGCTTATTGTAATTCCATTCGCTTATTGTTATGATTCTCAATTTTATATGATTATTACAATTTGCCAATCTTGTAATTCTTGTGTTTATCGGTCAAATTGAACGTCTATAAAAGAATTTTCTGATCTAATTTTTATTTTGTACAGTATTCTTCTAAATTTTTCTCACGCACCGAGCCACCGAGGTCATCTCAAAGCCTCTCTCACTAAGAAGTATAAGATTTGTCAGTCCAGATTGCCGCCAATTCAGATCGCCGTGGTTTTTTACGCCGGAGCTCCTAACCACCCATTACGATGAATGCCGTTGAAACGTAAATGAAGAATTATAACCCCAATCCAACCGCCGTCACCCCGCATGTTGCCCACCTGCAATGCGCCCTTTCTCCTTCCCATCTCGCATCTTCAAGTCACCCAGTAGGCCGCCCGTTCCCAGAAGCAGTTTGATTAAAGATCCTGTCAAGCACAATTGCATTGTCCAAAACTTCTTCAATCACTGCTCCAAAGGCCGCCTCCAACAAGCTGTTATTTGTCTCGACCTTCTAGCTCAGAAGGGTATTCGGTTAGACTCTAAAGCATTAGCTTTTCTGTTATTAAGATGTGGGGATTTTAAGGATCTTAGGATAGGGAAATGGGTTCACCTCCATTTGAAGGTCACGGGTTTGAAGCACCCCGATACGTTTTTAGCCAATCATTTGATTGATATGTATGGTAAATGCGGCGATCATAACGAAGCGCGTAAAGTGTTCGATAAAATGACATCTCGAAATTTGTATTCCTGGAACAATATGCTGAAAGGTTACGTGAAAAAATTGATGGTAAAGCCGGCGAGGACTTTGTTTGATAAAATGCCTGAAAGGGATGTCGTATCATGGAATACTATGGTCATTGCTTATGCGAAAAGTGGACAATTGGACGAGGCTTTAAGGTTTTACAAAGAGTTGAGGCAGTCGGGTATTGGGTTCAATGAGTTTAGTCTTGCTGGCATTGTGATGACATGTGTGAAATTGAAGGAGTTGATGCTGACTAAGCAGGTCCACTGCCAGATGTTGGTTGCAGGGTTTTCACTAAATGTTGTCCTGTCAAGTTCAATTGTTGATGCCTATGCCAGATGTGGTGTCCTTAGTGATGCTAGGAGATTGTTTGATCAGATGGGCACGAGGGATGTTCTCGCATGGACAACTTTGGTATCAGGATATGCCAAATGGGGTGATATGGAATCAGCCAGGGCGCTGTTTGATAAGATGCCTGAAAGGAATCCTGTCTCTTGGACATCTGTTGTTTCTGGGTATGCTCGAAACAATATGGGATATGAGGCACTTGAGTTGTTTACGGAGATGATGCGGCGTCATATTAAGACTGATCAGTTCACTTTTAGTAGTAGCCTGTGTGCTTGTGCAAGTATAGCTTCACTAAAGCACGGTAAACAAATCCATGCACATTTGATAAGGATCGGTTTTAAACCTAATCCAATAGTTGTAAGTTCCCTCGTTGATATGTATTCAAAGTGCGGCTGTCTGGAACTTGCAAAGCGAGTTTTTGATGTTGTGGATGACAAGCAAGATGTTATTCTGTGGAACACAATAATATCAGCTTTTGCGCAGCATGGTTCTGGTGACAAATCAATTGGTCTGTTTACAGAGATGGTAGAAGCAGGAATCAGACCAGATAGAGTTACGTTCCTTGTCCTTCTCAGTGCATGCAGTCATTCAGGGCTTGTGAATGAGGGGCTTAGCTTTCTTAAGTCGATGAATCATGATTACAATGTTGCACCCGATCGGGAACATTATGCATGCTTAATTGATATGTTAGGTCGTGCTGGACGATTTGACGAGGCAGTAGGTCAGCTCAGAAACATGCCTTGCAAGCCTGATGATCGTGTTTGGAATGCCTTGATTGGTGCCTGTATGATCCAAGGAAATTCAGATTTGGGACGAATTGCAGCTAAACACATCCTTGAATTGGATCCTCAATCACCCACTCTATATGTTTTGTTGTCAAGTATAAATGCAACACTGGGAAAGTGGGAATCTGTGTCGAAATTGAGGCAGCTCATGAATGAGAGACAAATAAGAAAAGAGCAAGCCCTTAGTTGGTTAGAAATTGATCACAACTTGCATCAAATAACTGTATCTGATCAGTTATTAAATTCAGTGGAACCTAACCCTGGTGTTCAACTTGTAGCTCATCAAAGTGGAGTTTCGTGATTCAGTTGGTAAACCGAAATGATTTATTTTTAAGAACATGTAAGTTACTAACCCGAGCATTATCAAGGAAGGCTTTAAATGCATTGCTTTGTTGAGAATTTTGTACAACTACATTTCACTTATTTGCTACTTGCTAGACGTTGGAAGTTCCTTGGTTGATCATCTGTCTTTACGTATTGATTGCTGGAAATGGGCGCTCTAAGTTTTTGTCCTCCTCATTTTATCCATGCAGTAAAAAAATGATCTGACCTACCTCTTTTTTTGATAGTTTGAATGCTAAAAAAGGTGTATGCTATATGTCTCTATATTTTTCTTGGATCCGGCAACAATTTCCTACCAACCATTGTCAAACTTTCTTTCTTGTTTGGGTAATTGGGTCATAGTCCTTAGATTTTTAGTTCATAAATTTAATAAATTCCCAAGTGACCTTTTAGAATGTAAGAAGCATATGCTTTAGAATTTGGCAAATTGAAGGATACTATAAGCTTAAAATAAAGATTTAGATGGCCTTCTCATTGTTGGCTCATAATGAGAGAGTCGATACATCCCTGAGGGGATGATGTATGGAGTCCAAGCATAGCTATATTTGAGCTCTTAGATATTTTTTCTTACTAGATTGAATTTGTTGTTGTAGTGCCTCTAATGTGGTTTTCATTTTCCAGACTTTCTTACCGGGGAGAGCATGATTGATGGACGCCCACATGGTGGAACATGCATTAAGGATGCTAATGTAACTCAGTTTTGGCATTGACATTGGGGAAAAGGCTTGCTGGGTCACATAATTTGGCGGTGCCGGTGAGTTTAGCCAGATTATTTCTAATAGAATCACCTTTTTTAATGGTTATCATGGCATTACTTCTATATTGTATATAAGTCACTAAATCAATGAACTCCAAGATTAGAGAGAGATCGAAACTTTTGTGTTGCTTATTTTAGTGTTATTGCGAGAAATTTAAGAATTGTCTATCTTTGCCAGGTTGTATTGTATTGTTGTTTTCCTCTTTCTAATACTATCTTTGTTGATAATTTTTAATTCTTCTTTTGAAATTCATTTAAAGAAAGCTCAATGAAAACATGAACTGAGTTGCTGGTTACATTACAAAATTATGTGTCACTGTTCTTGTTTCGTGAGGTCGAATTGAGTAATTGGACCTTCAGTCCATTATCTGTAATAAAGGTTTTGCTACTTTTTGAACCATGTGGCTGGGGGTCTTATAAATTCCTAGACAAATAATGCAAAGGTTTGCGGAGCCAATCTCTCTAGGGATTCTTAATGGTTTCTCCTTCTGAATCACTTGCATGTAATGTGGATGCATGCCCCCATACATACTCTTGAAGAGAAATAACCTGTTCATACTAATTATTGGAACTTATTCATCTGCATTGAATATGAAGTGAGTTTGAAATACATCTTAAAAATCTGTCCAGTGTGAACAAAAAAAAAAAAATCTGTCCAGTGATACCCTTACTTTGTAGCTGTGTAACTTCTCTTGTTTATCAGACATTTATTTGGACATTTTCCTCCTCTACGATGCGGCTTAAAGTTTTTACCAGTTCAAACTAAACTATCTTCTGGTTGCTCTTTTCTTGTGTGCAACTTTTATCTGCACTTCAATTGCTCATATTTTTCATTTATTTTACTCGATCCTTTTATCTTCCAGGTTTACAGAAGCTATCGATGTACCAATTCAAGGCCACAAAAGATCAACATTAGCAGTATGTTTAAGATCCTAACTGTGACCTCTTCCAGCAGTTTGAAACATGATGCTGCCAATTCTTGCGCTGTGTATGTCGTCGCATACCTTATCATTCAGGCTGAGTCCCATTTATTCCACAGTTTCCACTGAGATTTAGTTGTTTTGTTGAAACCCATTAAGCAGACACAAATTGTAGGTAGAGTTAGTGGAGAGGAAATTTATTGATTCATCTCATGACAGAGGCAATAGCAGATTTTGTAGGAGTCCAGCAAAATTCGATCAAATAGGAATGGAGAGCATGTAGGATTCAGTTGTGGGATTGTGGTTTAATCTAACCGTCTACCATGTACTCCCTCCGATCCTTATAATAAAGCATTTTAATTTCGTTCTAGGTTTCACCGACGATGTTTTTTTAATTGAAATAAAAACATTAAAAACATTTCATAGTAATTAGGAGAACACAATGAATGTAAAAATATATTTTTAAGGTTCTTTTTCCAATTAAATATACATCATAAGTTAAACCTAAGACGAAATCAAAATGGCTTATAATAAGGATCGGAAAGAATATATTCGTATCAATAGTTAATCCCATTGATAGTGTGATGATTTTTAAAATTTTTGGGGGTAAAGCTGGGAAACTTTTCACAATCCATCTCTTTTGCCACCGAATCTGACTGGCATTAACAGTTCTGATTTGACTTGCTCAAATTTTAGGTGGATGCTGATAATCTACCTAGGCTTCATTGGGTCTGTGATTGTCAACTTGTATCAAACGAGATCAAGTTCAAGATTATAATTTATATAATTTGAATCAATATTGATCGGAGAAGTATATTCAGATTTCAAATATCAGATATATAATTAACTCATTTAAAAATTAGAATCAAGATTGATCAGAAAAGTGTATCTAGATATTGGGAGAATAATTAACCTATTTTAAATTTATTAGAACAAAAGATTCATCGAAAAAGTATGTTTAATCATATATTGGATGTATAATTGTTTTTTTTCATATGTGCACGGTATTCCAAGTGCTTTTTGCACTTGAACTAATCCGCACCGAGTTGGGAGAATTTTTTTTGGAGGGCAATCTCCCTCAACATTACTCTTTCAATTCACAAGATTCAAACTTAAGATTTCGCTTAAGAGAACCAAAATATCTTACCAATGTCAAGCAAAGTGTCGGTTACAATTGACATTGAAAAGTTATTGGATGAAAACGTATCAAATGGGTGATATTTTACTACTAACGGTGGGCTTGATTGCTTGAACAAAGTGAGATGGTATCAAATTACAAGTTTTCAATGGTATTACTCTTTGATGGTGAAATTTTATGTTTATCAAAGTTTTTTAAGGTTTTGTGAATCCTAAGTCTAAGAGCTTCCTTCGTTTTTTTTTTAAAAAGTTTTGAATAGGTTTTTGATTGAGAGAGATCATATCATGTCATGTCTTAGTTAGGTCTTTATTAATTATTAGAATTGTTTATGAAACTTTTACAGCTAAATTCTATGGGTACAAATTTGTTTAACTGTTTGCAGTATGAAAATGAAACATGGTTTACGGTTTTAGTACTACCGCTTCTACCATGAACAATTACAGAATCTTTCTTTTTGTATTTTTATTCGGAAGTGTATGAATTAATTCTGACAAATATATTTATTTTAGGATTAGGTGATAATATTTTGTCTCCGAGAGAATATTCTAACACTCAAAATCATTTATTATCATATGGAGGCAGACCGCCCACCAAGCACGCCATATTATTCAATATTCACAAATCAGTCGTAGTAATGTGGATCTTGGTCGAAAAAATAACGTCAAAGGTGGAGTACGTTTTTTAAAATTATTGCATCTTTTGTTGTTGTCCAAGGATATTATAATTCACAAAATATACCAGATCTTCAGTCACATTAGCTGCGGACAAATAATAAATATTGTGTCACCCGGCCGGTGAAAAATGCACAAGTTCTCTTCTTGTGAAACATTATTATTAGACATCTTTAGTAGTATTTTTTTTTTTTCGCTCTGAAAGAAAAATCCATTTTGTGGTTGAAAGTTCAAGATGATAAGTTAATTTTATGGTGTCAAAAAACTAGTACACAATAATTTAGATGAAGGGCCTCAATTCTAAAGAAAGTGTTTTTTTTTCTTTTTTTTCTTTTTTTTTTTTTGGTAGAGAGTGACGAGAGAGGATATTTGAATTTTCGGGGTGAGAGCGTTGGGTGGGGTGGTTAGGAGATTAGGATGGGAAATGGTTATTACCGGGAGATCAAGGGTTCGATTCTCACCGAGGCTATCCATTTTTTTTTTAATTTTTTTTTAAAGGATATTTGAATTTTCACTTCAAAATATATGGTGGATTTGGGAAGCCGACAATGTTCATATTGAAATAACTATTTTTAAGAGGCGTTTAGCAAGGTTATTAGAAGGACTTGAAATATTTTCCTTAATAATAAAAGAAAATAAGATAAGGTACCCTAATTAGTTTATTTAGCTTAGCCTCTTTAATTAGGTGAAGGCATGATTTTATCCTTTTTTTTTAAAAAAAAAGAAGTAAAAAGAGGAACAAATGTACTCTCTCTGTCCCAAAATTATTGTCCGATTTCACTTTTAGTACAATTTGAACTAAAAATGAAAACTCAAACTGAACAATAATTTTGGGACGGATGGAGTATTAAAATCGTCCAATTTGATGTCACTAGTGGTGGCTAAGTATCCCAATAATTGGAATTGGACTTTGAAGAGTTCAATTGCTGGTGAAGTATGACGTCACCTGTAGTTTTTCTAACTGTGAAGAGTTCAATTGGTTAAGGTCAGACGTGACTATTATTATTTGCTCACTTGATGATGATGAGTGATATACTAATCCTTAAAAGTTAAAATACTCCCTCTGTCCATAATTATTGTTCGGTCTGAGATTTTACTTTTAGTACAATTTGAACTAGAAATAAAAATTCAAACTTGACAATAATTATGGGACGGAGGGAATATAATATTACATATGAAAGAGTTTTACCCCGAGTCACTTTATATTTGATAAATGTGTAAAACATCTTATTTAACGTTAATTTGTATGGGAAGAATTATTAAAAAGGCACCGGGAAGATGAAAATTATTCTAAAGGACATTTATCATTTTTTTATGATTTAAAATGAATGTTAAAATAGTTTTAATTTTGCAAATGACTAGTTTAGCTCTTTACTCTTTCATTCCTTCTATTCCCATAATTCCAGACTCCTCAATCAGCTAGTTCTCCGCTATAGAAGTGATTCACCTCTTTAGTATGGTCGTGTGCTGAATTTTGTAACACAAAATTGATAACATTAACAGAAAAAAAAATAACTAAGCTATAATTTATAAGTATCGATAATTTTTCAGTTTGCTACTAATTAGTCATAAGAGCAATAAAAATCTTGTAGCATACAGGAAGTTTTAAATTTCTTGCTGCTGTTAATTTTTCTCTATTAAAATGGCTCTTATTAGGGTTTATGTTTACTCACAATTAAAATTTAAGAATTAAAACAATGAAAACTAATTTGAAAAGGAGATAATAACAAAGGACTATTGGGATTTGAATGATTGAATGATTGAATTCAATAATCGGGTCTAAAACTCTAAATTGAGAGGAGATAAAAATAAAATCATTGTCGAAAAGCTGAATACTATTTTTGCTACTGCTTATTTTTTCCACTTTTTGTTGAGATGAGAGAAGAGGCCGATTGTTTCTTTTTGTTTTTGAAGAAAGAATAGGTTAAATTATTTTGGTATTAGGAATGTTGAAATAGTTTTTCAAGCGTCAGAAAACTCTGGTTACATTAATCAAGTTTACAAAATACCATATGAATTGGTAATGACCTTAATAATAAGATTGATCTTTGCGATGCCCTTTTTACAAATTTTCCCAATTTGTATGTTTATATAGTTTTTTCCGCGTGTAGTTTTAAGTATTTTTTTATTAATAATATAAGAAATATATTGAGAATGTAAATATATATATTAAAATAATACAGTTCTTCATAATAGTCTCCGTTTGGTTGGATTGAATTAGGATTGAATTGGAATTACAATTGCAAATGAGATATTAGGATTATAATTCAATATAATTCCTTTGTTTGGGAGATCTTAAGAATTGAGTATAATTAAGATTTTAATACCAATTCTTGCGTTTGGATGTTTAGGAATTTAGATAGTTCTAGAATTGAATCTAATGTTGGGCTTGCATATTTTGAACAACGGACATTGACTTTTTTTTATTGACCAATCATACTACAATGAGTTAGATTTCAGACTCTGCCAGCATTTTAATACTAATGTTGGGCTTGCATATTTTTTAAAACAGTGTCTTCAAAATGAAAACTAGAATTTTGCCGAAATCGAAAAGCTAAGCAGTGTCAAAATGAAAACAGTGTCTGAAGGAAGACATAAAGCAAGTTGATGAAGAAGAAAAGAAACAATTGTTGACTGTTGACAACCATTAATTACCCTTATGGAGCTGCACCATAAGCCATCGTTGTTTCATTTCAACTGTTGACAACCCAACAAACGTGTCATATAATCTCTGATTGTCCATCATCAAATCTAGGGCTTTGAAGGTTTGCATCTCGTCTAAGGAGACTACCTTCAATGCTTCAAGTATATCTTCCGGTGTAGCTTTTTTTGTAGCAACCAATATTTGTCTCTCAGTCACCATAAACTCACCAAAGTTTTCAGCAATTTGCTTCATGAAACCACACATTATATTTGATGAACTCGGTTTCTTGTTCATACCTTGAAAAGTAGAAGAAGATGCAGCTTCTTTTCTCTTTTGATATCCCATCATAAGTCTCATGATCTCATCTTCCTCGCAAGTCTCAAATGGATCTCCCAAATTAACAGATTCCCCTACTGTTTCTTCAGCATTCATCTCCCTAAGAGTGTGGCCACCTTGCCCATTAGCACGGTCTTGTGAGAAGATTGTGCAAATTTCTTCCCAATTCTCAACTATAATCTTCCTTCTATAGGGTGCAAGTTTAGGGTTTGCCTTCAAAAGAAAATTTATAAATCGAATGTAATGAGCAACCATGCATCAAACAACCACACGAAATTGGAATTGCAGTTTCTTCCTTATCATGGCCTCTAAGTTGTGTACATTTTCGATCATTCCAAACAAAATCCAAATTTGTAGCTTCCGGCTAGCCAAAAGCAAAAGTATATATAGACTCTTTATTCCATTATTTCATATTTTGGGTGTCGGCTAGTGAAAAGCACCAGAAAATAAAGCGGAGAAACTACCCTAAACAATTATATCCGTTCATAATGCCATTCAAAAGTGAAACATCCAGTAACAAAAAGCAGAGAAACTATCAAAACTTATGCCTATTAGATTATGCATGGAAAAAGGGATGTCATACAACCGAGACCTCAATATTGAAAATAGAGTTACCTCTACACGTTCGTTCCACACATTCTCATCATGGACCTCAACTCTTCCCTTTGAGTAATCCCATGTGATTGCGAACCGGAGTTGCAAGAAACCAGTAAAGGCTGCAAAGTCTCATAATGCTTTTCCCAAGTCTTCGACGAGACAAAATCTTTTTCTTATCTACTCTTACCTGTAACTTGTCGGCAAGCGCATTAATAGCAGCTGTCCAGAAGTATTCTTCCACGCACATTTCCCATCCAATTTTTCCCTTGTTTCATTTGTTCAATGAAACACTCCCCCGAACCTTATCCATTTCGGGGTCCATGTGAAGTATTCTTTAACCTTTCCTTTCCCTTTGGAAGGGGATGGTGCTTGTGAATGAGGAGCCATCTCGAGAGCTTGTATTACTCGGTGGACAACAAAATTAGCAACAAGGCAATAGTGTTGAGACAACCTACAAATGTAAGGAAGAGCAACACGTTATCATCTTGGAACAAAAGAAGAAACTAGTTTTGCTTAAAGAAACAAAAGTTCAGATCATAGGATTATACGATTGCTTACGATTGCTTAATTAAAAATGGTTATGTATCCTAGTCTTATACAGTTGCCTTGTTTGATATGTTCCTAATTTCCAACTGCTACCGTCTACATCAACTAAGATCATTCAATCCTACACTTAATTTAATAGCATGCAGATGCGTCTTAACCCAAGACTTCTCATTGGGATCAAATTGGATCTCCAAAATTTCCATTATTGGAAGAGAATACATCAAAGTAAAAGCAACGCAGCAACTCCCTTTCCAAGTACAAATGGAAGATAGCGAGAAAGGAAAAAGTTTCACATTGTTAGTCTCAACCACTACTATCACATTTGCGAAACAAACTTTTACTCTAGAAAAGAAATGGAGAGCTAGAACCTTAAAACAGCTTAATAACAAACAAGACAACTCAATCTCATTTTAAGCTATCCGACGGTGGCGGTGTTCTCTCAAAAGAACATCCCCCGACTGCCCTTACAAATATTCAATGGAAGAAAGCAATACATTGCATCTTATACATTACAAGCAAAGTTCAGTCTTTGCTCATTCAAAATAATTATACACGATGTCCGGCACTATGTTTGAACTATCAGATCTGTCCTGTAAGTTTAAAGAGAATACGAATCGATACTCATGCAAAGAACATATTTGGAGCTGATTATCATTACAATATCAATAAACCGGGGAGGCTGAATGTAGCCAAATGTCATTCAAATATTCACTTGGCGAGATCTTGCAATTCGGTTTAACTATACGAACAACAAACACATTCTTATTACTAGCATCTAAGATTGCTTGTGTGTCTTGTTATTCCTACCTTAATCAGCCTATACATATATCCTGAAATGTAAACTAGAATCCAACGAAAAGCGGTGACCTTATTAAGAGACAAAAGTGTAGAAAATACGATTTTTTTAACTGAAAATTGTTAAAACACTAAACAGTGAACAAAATTCCTAGAAACTGAGCACAGATATGAATCATATGAGAGTTCATCACACATCAGAAAGAACACATCTTTACGCAACATCTATTAGTGTCTCAATAACCATACAATGCTCAGTAATATCACAAAACAGTGTACCATTCACATTGCAGTTAACAGTGTACTATTCACTATGAATTAGAGAGAGTGCAACAGCCAGCATTGCAACAGTATTGCATTGCAAGTACAATTTAGTAACAATTACAGGATACATCTATTTTGATAATCACGAAACATAGCTTCAGCTAACGAATCCCTAAATCGGCTCCATTCATAAGTAGATTGAACTACAGTAATTCGGCTGGAGTTCTGTGCAGCACCATGCACATGTGGACTGTCTTCTTCATCCTCACCACCATGCACAGGTTGCGTGTCTTCGCCATCCTCACCACCTTGAGCATCATCATCTTGGTTATTTATAGTAAGAAGCTCCGCATCAACTTCATCCAGCATCGGATCATTCGGAGCTTCTATCCTAATAAGGTTATGCAGCACGATACAAGCATTGATGATTTTCACATGGGTTTTAACATCAAAAAAGGAGACTTCTCTCATGATTTTCCACCGCTTCTTCAACAAACCAAAAGCTCGTTCAACTACATTTCTCGCGGTTGCATGTCGGAGGTTAAACAGCTCTTTGGGAGTTCTTGGGTTGTTACCTCTAGCGGACCACTCGTTAAGATGATAACGAACCCCTCTAAACGGAGCTAAGAACCCTGGTCCATTTGTATATCCCGCGTCGACAAGAAAATATTTTCCTAAAGATTTAAGTGGAGAATTTATTTCCCAATAATCTAAAGGTATGTAAGATAATGAAGAAAAATGGAAAAAGAAATCAGTAAATGCAACTTACCCTTGGGTACTACAAAAGGGTCGAGTTCTAGTTAAGGAATCGCGCAATACTCTACTATCACCGCGGAACCTTCCCATCCCGGCAAAACGTAGGTGAATCTCAAATCACGGGCACACACACCATAACATTTGTCGTTATCTCACCCTTCCTATTTCGGTATCTTCCTTGATCTCTTAGTGGAACGGTTAGTTTGATATGAGTGCCATCTAATGCTCCAAGGCAGTTCTGCCACCAAAAACCAAAAATGAATCTTAAGATTAATATACTAACTTCTAAACTAACCAGCAAACACGAACTATGTTTACCTCAAACCACATCCATTTTTCAGCTTCGTGCCCCTCCATTTCTATTTCTTCTTGGTTAACATATTTGATTCCCATTCTTAAAATAGCATTTAACACCATGTTAAATTGACGACGACTGTCTCCCCGATCTTATAAAATCGAAACTCACTTTTCGATTCGTCAAATTGAGAGAAAGGACATAGAGAAACATAGCTACCGCTTCTTCCACGGGGACATGAGCTGAATCTCTCAATCCTCCTAGCTCTTTTAGATTAGAGCATAAAACAGTAAAACAGTGCTTAGTTAGACGAAGTTGATCCTTACAAACTCTATCACTCCCATAATAGAGTCGCCTAAGGTATATTTGTCGTGCTACAGAGAAGTCCAATCTTGGCTCTTTCACCATATGCTTTTCGTGCCACATAACGGCTATAGCAACTGCAGTAACAACTTGGTGTACGACGAATATTCTTCGCCTCTTTCTTGCGTTATCCTCGTCATCATTACGGGAGAGTTGATAATCCATGTAATCTAATTATTAACCAATAAATAAGTACAACTATTGACTTTTCTAAAGCCATGTAAATGATGCAAAATATATCAAAAGATTCTCTAACAGAATTGCTACAAAAAGCAAAAAGTCTACCATTACAGAAGAGACAAGGAAAGACAGCAAAATCACAAACGTAATACAAACCCACAGTTAAAACCTGAACTTAGACGTAAGACGAACCCACATTTAATATTTCCTATTAACGTAAACAATTTACTGATTAAACCTCAGCAAGCAATATAGCTTTTCAAATGAGCATACATTACCATCAAGTAAAAAATATCCAAGCAACCATGGAATCACAATTAGAGTTTTATTACTACTGATCATTTGCCTTTCAACACTTGCTTATGGAGCTGTTCTTCCTGCTAATGAAGGTACATTTATTGACTTGAGGGCTACTACAAAAATGATGTTTTTGATACTATTTTTTGCGCACCTCACTATTTGTTTTAGCAAACCATTAAAACAACATTAAAGTACAATAAACAGAGAGGGATTTTATCAAAAGACTTCAGAGAAAAAGGTCCAAAAGTCAAGCAAAACAAGCCTCCCAAATCGAAGCTTAAACCAGATTTTATGACAAAAGTTTAATGATTTCCAGCGACTGATAAGCCAGATTCAAACTCAATTTCTGGACAAGCCATAAATCCATTTGACAATCCAAGAAGACTACATTAAACTACACTCAAATTTGAAGAGTTTTCCAAAAAGAAATTCTGAAAAAGAATCAAAGAGCAAAGAGAAATAGGCATGTCAACAGCAGGGTTCTGTTCAGGTTTTTCTGTATTTTTCAGCAGGGATAATGTCATCTTCAAATCGAGTTTCCGGGCAAACCACAACTCCGATTTGCATTCCATAAAAACTGAATTAAACCATGTTAAATGAAGATGATTTTCATATAAAGAGATCCTAAAAAGAGCTAAGGAGCTGGGAGAAAAAGGGCTGACAACAGTGGGTTGCAGTTCTGATTTTTCTGCACTATTAAAATATAATCAGCAATCTACGTTGTTGAACCCACATTTTAAAAGATTTGCAAGGTAATTTGGAGAAACATGCAAACTAAAACAAACCTTACTAACCCAGGAAGAATCAGGTATGAAATCATGGAGAGAAAGAAACTTACAAGATGACATTTGAGCGGTTCATTCAAACAACTTAAATCTGGATTTTTTAACTCCGTATAACCGAACTCTTTAAACTCATTCATTCTCTTTATTTTAGTTCAAGCCTGCGTTTATATCTTTAGACCATCAACAATCATTTACATGCTCCTTATAACAACCTTTAGCTGCTAAGCATGCATATAATTACATGTCACAAGAAGTTCATGAATCAAAGATAGACTACATAACATACCAAGTCAAAGGCAAACTAGTCATGCAGTCCGATTGACCCTTCAATAATTTCCCTATTCATTATTTTTAAACCGATTAAACATCCAAAACTGAAATAGAACTCAATAATTTGCCTTTCAAGAAAAAATTTCAAAATTACAATCAATGCCCTTAACTGAACAAGAATGCTGCAAGAATAAATGTCAACATACCTCAATGACAGTTCTCAAATACTCCAGAACGGCAGGAATCTTGGCTTCCGCAGATTCAGTATATATCTATGCAGTCATTAAATGCCCAGTAGAACACATTCAGACGTTAAAAAAAAAAGGGAACAAAAAATAAAAAATGTATAACATAGCTGAACCCAAAGTTAGAAGAGTTGGCGTCTACATATGTGTATGGACAAGAGAAAAATAGCTAAAGAAAAACAGAAGCCTCAATCATTCTTACCTTATTAATGAGATTCTTCTCTGAAAACTTAAGTGATTCAGCTTCTTCTTTAGATTTGCATGCCTTAATTTTGCTCTTAATCACCTCCAACTACAGCATAGGAAAGTACATAAATAGATTACTCTTGAAACTTTATAAATGATTAAGCAGCAATAACGACCGTTAAACTGAAAAACTAATTAAGCATATGAAAGGAAGAAGTTCATATTCAAATTTTAGTCTTGGTTAGTTCAGCTCAATAAGCGAAAATGGCAAGAAAGCAATTCAAGCTGCGTTTAAAACCAAAAAATCTGCCAGAAAGACAAAAACAACCAGCAAAGGCGTTATATTTGATCATCTCCTATTAATAGCCTAAGTATATAAGATGTTTTTTTTGAGGAAAAGTATATAAGATGTTAAATATTCATCTCCCTCACATTCAAATACAGTTGGCACCCATCTCCTAGTCTCTTGTGTTTAATCAAATAAAAAGAAAGATATAGTTTAAGCTAAAATTTAGAATATAATGATCTTTTATTTCATCAAATCTAAGAATACAAAACCATTCCACAAACTATGTAGGAGAATTGATGGTAGCAGATTCGTAGAACGTGCATAAATTACACCCATCACTACCCCAAGAAAAATTAGAGGAATCATTCTGTACATTAAAATGTGCTAAAGCAAAAGCCACCGAACTCATTAAAACAGACACCAAACAGGCATATATACTTACTTAGGGAAGGTAGAAGAAAACCCGAAACACTATTTCTTCCCATAAGGGAGCACACACTACAAGTACTAAAGCGTATAACCCCATCGCCACTGGAAAGGCACTACAAGTACCTAACTTATCCAATTCCAGACGAGATTCCATATAAACCCTCAACAGGTACGAGATTCAATAAAACCCAGAAACATGGACTTTAAGCCAAACCCACCACATCTGATTAAAATTCAGTAGAAAACAAGCCTTAAAACGAGATTATTCACCGAAGAAAAACGATTGCAATTATTGAAAGACCAAAAACAAAATAGATCTGAAAGAACACCGAATCATCAAATAAGGTACAAAAATCAAATATTCGGACAACCCAAACTTAAAGTAGAGCCACCATGAAACAGACGGAAATTCCGTTACCTTACCTGCTCAAAATCGATAGAAAACTAAAGAGCCTGCGAGCCGGCAATTTCAGACGGGCTTTGCCATGGGAGGAAAAAAGGAAGAAAGAAAACTAAAGAAACGGTAAATGTGCGAAAGAGACGTCAATTTTATCCGAACCCGGAAAAAATAAGTTGACCCGGATTCATGACCCGCGATTTTTTTAAAAGACCCTCGAATTCGAATTGCAATTATTTGCTCCCACAAAAGAATTGAAAATAAAGAATTGAACCCCATTATGAATTATAATTCTAATTCTAGAAGTCTATTTTTATCAGCCAAACACAAGAATTGGAATTGGAGGCCTCCAATTCCAATTCTTGGGTCCAATTCAATCCAACCAAACAGAGGCTAAAAGTTTTGGAGCAGAAGGATTATTAAACTCCTCAAAAAACTAGAGAAACTTGCACTGGTTTGTACTTGAATGAACTAAAATTTAAAAAATTATGAGTAGGATAAAAAAACCGGCGACAAAAACAGGTTGCACATCCGTCAATACCCCCAATAATTATTGCTGAAATATTTAATGAAGGCGGTAGCTCTATAACACTTATTTACAAGAAGACAAGCACAAAACGAAGCTGTATTTTCATTTTCATTAGCCTTGAAAGGTTCAAGATGGATTGTTTGTCCATTTAATATTACTGCAATTTCACCAACTAGGGTTGATGATTGACCCTTCTGAGGAGAAGATCCCCACATGCATTCTGATATATTCATGCACCATTCCAAAATATTTGGTCCACAATGATGTTTGGGAAGAATCATCCTCATTGTTGTACTAGTGAAAATGAAGCACGCTTGTATAGTAAGATAGGCAGTTATTGTAAATCCATATAACAAATTCATAGATAGTGGAAAAATTTTGATCCTCAGTCTCGAAATTATTGTTTAATAGAATTAAAATTTACAATAGACAATAATTTCGAAATGAATAGAGGGGTAATTACTAATTAGTAGATTAAAATGTTCTTAATTTTGGATGTTTGTCACCCGAGAAAAATGGAGTCAAAAACGCAGGCGAGAATAGTTTGATGCTAATAAAAACTTTGAATAACAAAAAGATATTGTCTTTGCTATTTCTGTTGAGCTTTTATCATCTTCTCCTTAGAGCATCTCTAACCTAGACACCAAAATATTAAATTTGGTATTTTGGTGTAAAGTTTCACTCCAAAGAACACATTAAATCACTACACTATTTTGGTGTAATGAATACTGTTACACCAGTATAAATTGTCCTTTACACTATTTTTAGTGTACTATATTTTTACTTAGATCTAAATATATATTTTTTATGCAATTAAAATTGTAAAATGAATTATTTTATAAAAAATATATGATATTAAATACTTTGTTGAGATCTTCAAAATAAGACCCAGATTGAATATAAATTTTTATTTTTTTAAAAAATAATTTTTAGTTATTATTAAAATTGAATATGAAAAATAAGTAAAAAAATTTAATACTTCTACAATCAAATAAAAAGCGATTATAAGGAACAAATTTATCACCAAATGACATGATTTTTATTAACTACGAAAATAAAATTTAAACTAAAACATTTAATAGGTAGACATTTTAGTACATCAAGATTGGAATGAAAAGAACTTTAACGTAAAAAGATGGTTAGAATATTTCATTTGTACACTAAATTTGGAATATTCCATGGTTGGAGATGTTCTTATCAAGATTGTCATCAGTTTCCATTAAGCATCAGCCTCCTCACAATGGTTTTAGGATGGAAGATCCTTTCCATACCCATAATCTTGAATGCAAATCTCCTTTACTCTGTCTGTTCTTGTAAATCTCTTTTCACACACAATGATGCAGTCAGAATGGCCTTGGTGTCAATCAGTTTAGATTCAGATATGCTTTATTTTTTTTTCTTAATCTGGATTGGGATTGTGTATAATGTGTCAAATCATTGGAAGGAGAGTCTAAATTAGGCATTCAATTAGAAACGAAACACACTCTCAAATCAAAAAGATGAGCAGAACCCATTGATTATTGATGGAGACTCTGTAGCTGACGATCAATTAGTCCTTATATACAATTTTTTGGTTAGTACAAGAACAAATCGTCAGCAATAGCCGTTCTTTCTATAAAAGGTGAAGAAAACAAAACAGACCAAAACGGAAAAAGTTTTTGTTCGAGAAAAATAATGAATTGGAAGCCCACATGGCAATCTTTTTCTTCCAGAATGATGATGACGATAATGGAATCGAGATCCTAAAAAATGACAGTGGTGAAAAACAAAACCCATAAATAAATTAACTTTAAAAAAACAACCAAAAAATGAAAATGTCAAAGGATATTAAAAGATATTTTATTTATGAAAAGTGTCTTTCCATGATTTCCAGTTTCCACCCACATTTCTTGCTCTTCATTAATGCACCAATTTCCCGTTTAAGACCCAGAAGAGTTGAACTTTGATTGACCCTTTATTTAATTCCAACATCCAATCAGTTTTTTCGATTGGGCAAGTTTACTAAAGCTTTATCTGCGTCTAGAGAAAAATTCTGTTTACCCTTCATTAGTGCATGCGTTGGAAAAGCCAATGGAGGGAGGCAGGGGAAGTTTGAATCATAATAACAACATAAATGCTGATGATGATACAAATTTGAAGGAGGCGTTACTGGATGGGAAGACTGATTCGGGAGGAGGTGTTGGGCGGCGCAGCCGCCGGCTGACTCGTGGTTACTCTGTAAACTCAATCAGAGGGGAATTCGTTTCAAGGCTTCCGGCCAAAGTCAGGGGCTGCGTCGATGTTGAGTCTTGTTCTGCTGATCTTTCCAAAGTTTCTGGCTTGACCAAAGGTTTGTTCCTCTTTTGTGGGTTTTTCCAGCATTCCCTGTTACTGCGTGAGTGTGTGTATGCGTTTAGAGATTTTTTAGCTGTTTGGGAAAGATAACTTAGTTCACCAAGTGAAAAGCTTTTAGGTTTTCTTTTTTTTTGAGTTTTTGTTGATCATAAGAACAAAATAGAAGCAAAACTAAGGGGAGCTTTTTTTTTTTTTTTTTAACTTTTCTTCTTTCTGCATTATTGCCTGTGTTTTGAGTTCAAGCTTGTGAAGCTTTTGGACCCATGTATGAGAGAGAGAGATCAAGGTTTATTTCATACTGAAACCATGGAAAATTAGGCAAAAAGATTCATTCTGAATAACTCTGTAAGCAGCTTCTGTTTGTGAGGGATTTATCTGTGCAGTTTCTCTTTAGTTAGTCCATGATATCTTCACACAATTGTGTGGATAATATGTTTATTTCTTTGAAAATCTGTATTTGTGAAATTTGTACGAGTCATTTGATGGAAGAATTACTAAGGAAAGCAAACAGCAAATAAGAAACAAAAGCAAAAGAAATTTCCATTCTGTTATGATTGTTGAAAAAGTATAAAGACCTCGTTAATAATTGATTATGCTGTATTTCAGGAGAGAAAGAATATTATGAAAGACAGTTTTCCACCCTAAAATCATTTGAAGAGGTTGACGCTATAATGGAAACGGATAGTCTTGACGAGGAAGATCTTGAAGAACAAGCTAAACAAGAACGAGCCATGACAATCTCGAATTATGCAAACGTTTTCTTGCTTGCTCTGAAGGTGAGATACATGACTCTACTCCAAACAGGTTTCAACGTGCATCATCTAAGTAATACCTCCATTGTTTTTGAAATCTATGATTATTTGATAGCCTTCGGCTCTTATGTAGGTTGAAAATTTTCTATAGTTTTCTGCTGCATTTTTAGCCACTTATTCGAGTCAAAAAATGTGTGGTGAAGGTGAATGAACTTGTAGTTTCAGCTCTGTCATATGTATGACTCTCTCCCTACCTTGCTAATGATTAAACAATGCTGAATCTTTTCATAAGTCTAGTTAAACTTCATTTTGGTAGTTGGATAAGGAGTATATTTGGAATTAAGATTCATTCTATCAAAATATTTAATCAGAGATTAGTGTTTCGACTTGTCTTTTATGTGGAGTTGCTAGAGTCAGTGGCAAAGCAGAAATCAACTCTAATTTAATGTGGACTATAGGGATATTTCTTCACCAAGAACTCAAAACACTTGGAATTCAAAGCATGAATTTGAAAGCCATTTATTTTTCTCTTCCTGAAGTATGGACTTGCTTGATACAAAGTTGAAGATTTGTGGTTGTTGTATCCCATGTTTGTGACACTATCTACCCAATTCAGATATTTGCAACTGTGGAGAGTGGATCCTTGGCAATTGCTGCGTCTACATTGGACTCCTTGCTCGATCTGATGGCGGGTGGCATATTGTGGCTAACTCACCTGTCTATGAAAAGCATAAATATATACAAGTACCCCATTGGCAAATTAAGAGTCCAACCTGTTGGCATAATTATATTTGCTGCTGTTATGGCTACACTCGGTATGACGCTCAACTGTTATGTCCAACATGAAAAGTTTTTAGCACATCTACATGTTCACTCCTCAGCCCTTACTATATGTTTTGCTATGGCAAACAAGTACGGTCATTAATTTGCTTTATCTTCAGGTTTTCAGGTGTTGGTCCAAGCAGTAGAGCAACTGGTTCAAAACAAACCTTCTGATCATTTGTCCTCAAGTCAGTTAGTCTGGTTATACTCTATCATGATAACTGCCACAGTGGTAAAACTTGCTCTCTGGATCTATTGCAAGAGCTCCAGAAATGAGATTGTCCGTGCATACGCAAAGGTATTGTAGTTGTCACTAAGTCGTGTTTTTTTCTTTTTTTTTTCTTTTTTTTTTCACATGCAAGTTGTTTAAGTTGTTAACTGTCACTTGTCCACTTTTCAGGACCATTACTTCGATGTGGTTACAAACATAGTAGGTTTGATTGCAGCAGTACTTGGCGACAAGTTCTTCTGGTGGATTGATCCTTCTGGTGCTATTGTGCTTGCTGTTTACACGATCACAAATTGGTCAGGAACTGTACTAGAAAATGCCGGTAGTTGCTTCAACCTCTATTTTGTTCTTCTACTTCCATTTTATATGTGTTTTCAATGCTCAAATGATGATGAGTATAGATGCCTTACGCTCGGTTCTGTTTTCAGTGTCACTTGTGGGACAATCTGCCCCGCCTGAAATGCTTCAGAAGTTGACATATCTTGCCCTAAGACACCCTCAAGTGAAGCGAATCGACACAGTTCGTGCATACACATTTGGTGTCCTGTACTTTGTTGAGGTTTGTCTTTCATAATTTTGCCATTGTTACTGTCTTTCTCTGCATTATGATATTAACCCTATCAATAAATAGGTTGATATTGAACTCCCAGAAGATTTACCCTTAAAGGAGGCACACACCATTGGGGAAACACTGCAAATAAAGATTGAAAAACTACCTGAAGTGGAGCGAGCATTTGTGCATTTAGATTTTGAATGTGAACACAAACCAGAACACTCTATTCTCAGTAGATTGCCTAGCACTGATCCCTGACCATTCAGATCTCAAGATTGAGGTAATTAAAGGAACAAATCCCTGATTTTATCATACCAGCGGAAGATTTTTTTTGCCAGCGAGATCAGAACTGGACTATTCCATGGCAGTTTATAGGCAATATGCAAACGAAGAACTTAAGAATCCGGAAGCAGTGAGCAATGTAGATCATAATCTATGGGCTTCCCTCTATGCTTCAATTAAATACTGAAATTTCAGCCGAAAAGAAGAATTCGACAGATAGTTTGTAAGTTGTAACTCATGTAGACTGAAAACTGCAGCATCGAAATGTAATTTTCAATAGAGAATCTGCTTGTTTTGATCGCTGTTGATACATCTGTTGGTTTCATTAATAGAAGTTTTATAGAACAAAGCTGGTATAAATGAGTCCACAAAAGGTCAATGTGTTTGGTTAACTTATACTTATCTGAGTATCTGACCCTGAAATGAACATACATGCATCCTAGGTTCACATCATATATCTCATTTACAGCAGGACACAGGCATTTTGAACCTAACAAGTTGTGCCAGTTATTTACACAAGTATAAGTGGTGATATCAGAGTTTGGAAGAAGGTTCAGTACTCTCCTCCTCCGTACTATGATGCTTCTGTTGCTGATGATGAGATGTTCTGTGTTCTTGTCTTCATTCTTCGTCACATTTTTCTTCCTTCATTCGATGGATAACGCCCTTACAACAAGGTTTGTATTCCCTTGTTGCGTCACTATATCATTTGAACTGCTGCTAGTTATATTCTCTGTATCATTTCTCTTTCTTAAAAAAATTTATACATCTCCATTCGAGGCATTTTCCCGCACCAGTAAAATCTGTACTAGAAGATTACTTTTGGCGTTTTACACTTCATACAGATCTTACTACCATGGCTTCCTATTTTCCTAACACGGTAGACATTTGTACTAACACATTTTATCTACTTTCTTCAATGCTTTGTATTACTATATCTTTTCTATCGAGCATACTTAAGATTAGCCAGCTATCTTTTCTATTACTTGAAGATACTTTATTTTAAGCGTTCTCCAGTTACAGATGTCTATCATCGATATGCCAGTTGGTATTAAACAATTTTTTACTCAATCGAGTAAAATTGATTTAAGCTAATCTTTAGAAATCGAGCTTTCGGAAAAAGATGAATACTTTGTTACTTCTTCAGTCCCATTCAAGGTAAAAACAAATGCTCAAGATTAAGTATGAATTTCTACTTGTATATAAATAGAACATGGGAGAGTAAAATTGCGAACAGTAACCCGTCTTGATAATGTGCGGCTTCTTTACAAGCTCCTAGTAGCAGTACTTTACATTTTTAATTTATAATAATGCGAATGTGAAATTGATTACTAAAACAGTAGTACAGTAGAGCGGATCATTTTTCTTGTATTTGGTAAACTTATCAATTTAAAAATTTTGGAAAAGGATAGTTAATTAACCTACCTCGAGATCCATGAACTGCTAGGCAGTAGTTTGACCAACAGAATGCAACAATTTGTGTACACAATCTTTGTGAATAATTCAAGGCCTCATTGAAAAGGACTGAAAATTACAAACAAAGTAAGTGCGTCTGCTTGAATTCTTTTGCTGCTTTTTTTTTTTTTAGCAACAGAAATGGAGTGGAAGTTGAAACAGTATCACACTTGTGTTGATCCTGCACTTGATATTGTGGTGCCACTAAAGGATGATCCATCCCAGTATCCTTTACATTTGCAAAGTTCCATTTGGAAGATGTATTGGGACTTGAGATTCTTCAAAATGTTCTCTTGGGGACTGAGCTTTCCCGAATAACTTTTAGAAGATGATTGGATGTTGGGTTATATGGTAATGGTGCAAGAAATAAGGGAAGCAGCAGAGGAGTTGAAACAGAAATTTGAAGCAGCAGATGAAGGAGAAAAGGTCACAAATTGGGAGCTGATGAGTTATAGTTTACGGACAATGATTCAAGAACTCAAGCCACAAGCCAGAGAGATCTGCTTTCTTTTACTAGGTGGTGGATTCATCTGTAAGTACTCTTGCCAACTCAAGATGTCGTCGTCTTATAAATATAGAGTTGAGATTGAGGACTTCATGTGTTCGATCCAAATGATTCTTCGCGGGTTTAGTGGAGCTGCACCAGAACTTGCCTTCATTCAAGAGAAACTGGAGCTCTTTGGAGCTTTTATTAAGGTTCTTAACAAGTGGCCATACAGATATATGAGTGAACTCATATGTCACATTCAAACTTGGGCAAGTCACATCTCATGCCTTGTGTACTTGTATGGAGAATATGATGAGAGTCTAGCCTTTATGGAAACTTTGATTTCCGAGTTGATGAGGAAAACTTTGTCCTGCAATCCACGGTCAATAACATTGATCCTTGATGTGTTTAAGTCTGGAAAACGCCATAAATTTCAAGGTACAATACTTTCTCAATTCTTGGCTGATTATGTTAAACTTCTCCTTCGACATGTGGTCAAACATTATGTGATGGATGATGCGGAAATTCTTGGTGAGGGGTTGACATTTTTGTTATCATTTGCCATGGATAAACCGTATGAGGACTCAAAAGAAACAAAACTGATATTGGCTGAGGTTTATCAATGATAAGTGAGGTGCCATCTGTTGTGTGCACTCCCGAGACTGAAAAAATTTCTGATTTCCTTCAAAAGATTGATGAGGTCAAATCAAAAGTAAGAGAATTGTATGTAGATAGTTCATTTTCTACACAATTCAATTCTCCAAGGACGAATGCAGCTGGATTCCTTGATTCCGTCTTAGAAAAGCTACACAACATGCTTCAAGGTGGGGTTGATTTCATTCCTTCAGTAAAGAATCGCGCTGAAGGAGTCTATGATGGCCTAGCATCCGTGAGACCACTTGTCCAGCATGTCTTGGAACTACAGCATGAGGACAGCAGACTCAAAAATCTACAGGCTCAAATCGTCCGTCTTACAAACTATGCTGCATATGTCATGACGAAGGCGAAATTCGCAACGACGCCTCCAGTTGATTGAATCGGTGGGCATAGCAGTATCACAACCCTAAAATCTGCAAAAGAGGGCCTCGGGGTCTCTCGAGGGTAGACACTCCAATGCTTAAGTCAGTAAGATTAATTGTAATAAAGTGTATATTTTGTGGTGCGTATTTTGATACGAGGGGTTGATCCCTATTTATTGAGTTAGGGTTACCTGTTTGTGAAACCCTTTCTTGGTAGGAAGGTAACTGGCAACCGCCCTAGAAGTTTCTAGAGGCCGGTTGGATCGCTCACCGAACTTGGGCCGGCCTAGTCGTGGGCCGTCTAAATTAGGACTCGTCAAGTACCCCTTATCAAGCCTATACTTTGAAGTCTAAAGATAGGGTAGGCTTGATAATATGAAGTATAAATTTTCTTCAAGTTCTGGAAGACCTGACTTGAACCGAGAATTTGCGACAGGTTAGCATCAAGGAGAAATCAGAATAATGAAAGCATTAGCGTGTACCTCTTTGTTGTACGTGTCATAAAGGACAATTGACGTTTATGCCAATTTGTGAAGAAAGAAGAGTCATCAGTCCAAACATTCCAGTGAAAAGTCGGTAGGTGATGATCTTAATAAACTGTCTCGTGGAGATACTAAAGCAGATGTCCTATTTCTTGGAAAGATGATAAAGAAGTGTAGTGGAGATTCCCACTACTCTGACTATGGAGACGTATGATCAATAATTTCCGAAGGTACAACGGCTGCCAGAACAAAGAGTCTATCTGAAGACTGCGATTTACGTCATTAACTCAGATTTTAGTCGATAAGTCCTCGCGTGATGAATCCCATGACATGCTACAGGGAATACTGAAACAGAAGGTCTACTTACGGAGAGAGTCAAGGAGGAAACATAGTGGAGATTCCCACTAGTCTCAAAATAATTAGTGCTGGTAATGGCTAAGATGTATTAACCGTTAAAGTGAGGAGTCTACCGGAGAACTATGACTTATGTTTCTGATCAAGAGATGATAGACCCATCTTTCAAGTGTAACCATAAAGTACTGCATCGAGAAGCATCGTGAACAAAGACAAAATATGCCATTGATACTTGATGTTGAGGGCATGAGTTCGAGAATGAACATTGTCTGGAGTTCAACTGTACGTCGAGAACTTGCCCCGGTATAAACTTTTTTATAAGGAAATGTTAAGAACCCAGAGACTTGAGTACCAGCTCGAGTGTAAAAGAGCATTAGAAAGCAGAGACTATTTTGTCACCATAAATGTCCTTAGAAGTTGAGGAGATAGAAGAACAGAAGATGTCACATCCGATACTATCTTCATAAGGATAATGAGATTCGAGGAGGTTCTCTCGAGTAGAGTTCTGGACCAAACTCATGAATTGTAACTACCCGTCCTTGGAGAAGGTATACACGCATTTAAACTCCTTTGTATTCGCCCAACCGATCCACTAGTATTTCCTCATATCTCGAGAAATAGAGCGTAAAATCCATAGTCCGGGTTTGAGGAGTCTAAAATCAGGTTGATGTGTGAAACCCAAGACTTGAGCAGGGATTCAGAGGTTGAAACTTGACCAATATTTCGAGGAATCGAACAACCCTAGACTCGATCCCAATAGACATAAGAGTGGAGAGATCGTTACCCCGTCAGTCTGAGAAATGGATAAAAATAATGCCCCTAGTGTAGGCAATAATAAAAAAATCATTAAGGAGAGTTATGTAAGAGAGCCGCGAGCAGTAAGAGGAATGACTGCCCCTGGACTAAGAAAGAACTGCCTCATGAGCAGAACCAGAAATGAGTACTTTCGAGCAAGACGGCCGAAAAACCAATGTCGAGAAGGAATCCTCAACACCTTTCTTGATGTTCCATGCTTTGTCAGAAAAAAAATTCAACACCTTCCTTCCTTCTGATATTGAGGCAAGTATTTCCAATTTAACCATTTATGAAGTAATCTACAATCATGATTATACAACTTACTCCTCCTGCCCCTTTTGAAAAGGGCCTGCGATATTTGTTCCCTATCGAGAGAAGATCTAGGGACCTAGGATGGCCTCCGCCTTATGTCGAGGCTGTCAAATGATAGAAGAAAACCTTTGACATACTTGGCCAATTCTCGAACTCCGGTATGTGCTCCACGGGACCTCTCATGGATCGTTCTGAGATGATAAACATACTGTTGAGGACAAAACATGGCCTTGGTGAAGACAAAACAATATATCGGAGCCCCTCTAAGTCTTGGGTGGCATTTGGCAAGGTGAGACTTGTAGATAAGATTCCATCACGAGAATGCACTTCCCGTTAGATAGCTTTAAGCAATGTTTGTTTAAGGAACCCCCATGTCGTATGGGTAGTATTATGAAGTTATGAACCGAAGAAGGCTGACGTTTGTCTGACAGCACAAATTGTCGTTTAGGGTTTAGGTTTTCCCTATTGTCCTTGTTCGAAAAGATAATGTAGAGCCATAAGATTCCTCTTGCTAGCCTTGGGTCAAACTGGATCGTTTGTGTTTCTGCTTTCGACGAGACATACGTTGCTATTAAAATGGTGCCCCATTCAATTCGAGGTCCCCTGATATCTTCCGAAGAGTAGGGCATAATGAGGAGGAACACCACAGTTGAGATACCAAAAGTTCTATAAATGCGTCCTCTCCTAGATTCCGTCGAGGACCTGAGGTAGATATTGAAGGCATGGATGAAGGAATATGAAGAGGGCATTGAGAAGATTGTAGAATCTCCCTATGTAATTAATCACTCCCAAATAAAGGGTTCTCGATAGACAATTTTTCTTGATGTAAGAGAGATATCAACTCTCTCCTTTCTTCTTGTTGATTTCCAGGTTATGTCTAAGATGTCTTTGGCTGAAGATCCATATGTGAGGCTAAAATTCTTGATTTCTCATACATCAGATGAAATTGAGTGTTTTCTCGAGTGAATCTACTCATCACCAACCGACTATACTGGAGGTAGACACAAAGCCTATTGCGTGTGATATAAGAAAATCCAACCTACCCGAGAGGGGTGGAATAAGTTTGGAAGGTCTTCGAAGACTGACACAATTTCAGGAAAGCCCTCGATTTCTGGAGACGAAGAAATAGAGAGATCTGGAAGTTTTCCCTCAACAATTAGTGATGATGGCCATGACACGATATTCTCAAATTCCTCCATGGGAGTTTTGCCGACATGAGAACCAACAATTTGTTGAGATAGTCGAGGTGACTCTCGGCGAACAAGTAAGTAACCTGCCATAGTTTCTAATGTCTTTGTCGCTTGTTTAAGCTTTTGCCATGCATATGCATGTATGATGAGAACATGACCATCTAGCCCCAATGGGGTTTATAAACAAGACTGAATACAACAATCACAGAACTGAAAAACCTCCGGGCGGAGTGCTAGAATTTGGAGAATATCTTGGAGAAACAAGAGCTGCTATTCTCATCAAGGGAAAGAGAACTGGTGTGTCTGATGATGGAGTATGACGCATCTAACTCCCAACTGAGGTTGCTTCTGGACTTGTTTATCTTGATTGAAGAATTACATAAGCTATTTGCAGCGTTATTATTCGAGATCTTTCCAACTGGAAGTTCAATCGAGAAAATTACTTCGATAAGTTTCTCTTCTCTTTCTATATCAAGCTCTCTTCATCACCATTCTCAGCCAGTGGAGATTATCCCAAAAGATGATTCTCGTTGGGAAACTTTTCAGATGAGTTCTCCAGGAAGATCCCTTGAAAGGAATGCACTACACTTTCATGAAAGGGTTGAATAACTCGAAGAGAATCAGTTTTCTTCCATAGCGATGTGAAGAAGCACACCTGCCCAAATTGCAGAATTTGCAAGACTTGATGGGTTCACCGTGCCAAAGGTCTGAGTCGACCGTCAAGAGTCGAGAAGTCCTGAAAGAGAGTATTGCTAGGTTCTCAAAGAGAAAGTAAAGAACGGAGGAAAAGTGATGAGGATAAGGCTGTAGAATCCACCATGGAGGGTGTACTACCGCAGCAATTTCCTAACGCTCCTGCCGCTTGAGAAGACAAAAATAGGTGATGCGAGAAATGAGCTGGAAATTACTGTGGGCGGCTGGTTCTTGTAAAAATTCCACAAGGATGCTCCCTCTATTCTGGTGTTTATGGCATGTATGCCTTTTCTTGAAATCGCATACTCAGTGTTGATTAAATGTGCAGCCCTCCTTGGTACCATGAAGGCTTTAATACCAGACAGCTTCCAATGAGAGAACTTCGATCCGACAGCTAGAAGTGTGTACACTTTCGTTAAAGTTTAGACGACTAAGAAATAGTCTGATTGACGTCTGCAGTGCCTGCAAGATCCATACTCATGCTCACTTTCTGGAGCAATCAAACTGCTATCGAAAGAATAAGAGGCCCGGGACGCCCAATGGGGTCGAGACTATCCGGATGTCTGGAATATGTAATATATATTAACAAGAGCCACCTTGAGAAGAAAATAGACACTCCAGAGCCATTAGGATATCTTTTCTGCCCCTCCTGTGATGGTGGACGTGAATGGGCATAGGACATCATTCCAAGGCAGCTATATGAGTTTCCTCTTTGTGGCGTACAGATACTTAACAAAGGTGAAAGAGTCTGAGGACGATTTAGCTGTTGCGACATAAAGTC